GAAAAATATAAAAAGAAAAATGAGAGAAAAAAATATGTGCATATCAAAATCACAAATAAAATGAAATGAAAGACAGCAGAAAGATGAAAAAAATCTTATAATATTTGCCTCTTTAAAAATAAAAAGTAGGTGAAACCACCAGAATATGCAAAAGATAAGAGCAGGGAAGGAGTGAAACAGTCATTAGTTGAAGTATTTACATACTGTAGTTATTCATATATAATATGATTTTGACTATAACACAATCATAATTTTTTGAGATAAAAAATGGATAAAAAAATCTAATCATCAATTACTCGTGTATAATACTACCCCCCACTTAATGGATGATTTTTAGGATTAAATTTCTAGTATTATACATGAATAATCTGAGACACTGTGTCTAATTTAGCAAATTTACTGTTTAATAAAAGGCGGAAGTYATCAGAACAAACCTGAGACCCTGCGTYMTCATACGAGGACATTGAATTTTTGCCTCTTTACACCACACTTCATTTTCTTACAGCTTTGACCCATTAGTCTCATTATAAACCAGGGGTCTCAGACCTTTTTTTTCCCCTTAAGAGCTACTTTCACAAAATTAAATTGTATAAGAGCTACTTTTGGCACAAATAACRTCGGGTGATGGGTCTCAGACATTTTTTCCGTATTGTAAACTCCAGTGGGARGAAACCCCATTCAGTGACGTATGCTGCAGTGGGAGGGTCTCCCAGGAGCTCGGCAYGGTGTTTTTCAAGGATCTATGAAAAGTGTGCAAAAATGAACACTGAACAACTATGACCACGCATCTGGTCGGCTACTGTTCGACCATACTGAGCTCTAAATTGTTTGATTGACAACCAAGGGGGAGGKACATCTATAGATTGATTGGATATAAATAAAAGTTTGTTCGGCCAGTGACAAATTAAATTTTGCTACTCCTAATTTTTCACAAGAACTGAAGAGCTGCTTTAAATGAGCTCATGAGCTACTGGAGACCCCCGTTATAGACACCACCAGCATTATCCACTTCATCCAACATGGCAACATTACAGTATTATCAGTGATAACAAGATGGCAGGGATCCCAGTAAMAAGCTTCTGCGACAAGTCYCGTCAGAAAAATGGGCAAGATAAAAATCCAAATGTTATGCTCAAAACTCGTGTATTTCAGCCCAGTTACAGCTTTATCTTCATRAGGAAGGCAAATATGATGAAGTTCTCAGTTTAGGACATTGSGACTGTATTTCAGTTATGGTTGTGCCATGTTTAAACCTGGGAATATTTAGAAGAGTTCACAATAGTTCTAGCAAGTGGTACATTTGTTCCACCAGYTAACTATATCAAGGATGTTCTCTTCGATTTTCTGTCATCACGTCATGTAATCAGTTGCCATTAATGATGATGATGATGATGATGGTGCACTTCACCGATCACTTTTCGTTGCAAAACATGTGTTCAACTAGTTAAAGGTTCAACACCCCTAAAACCAAACTCACAAAGTCCTAGTCCACAAGGAAATGCGTTATTTTTTTCAAAACAATTTTTTAATTCTCATTTCTAAAAATATTATTGTAAACGTGGTACTGTTTCTAAAAACATCATCATTCACTATTAAACCTCAAAAATAACACAAAACGATGTAGTAACTATGCCAGGCCTGTGTGTGGCGCTGCCATGAAAACAAYGAAACATGAAACATGACAGAACATGAACTTAACACGCCGAGAACAACCGTAAAGTTTCTCCTGCCTGGTTTTCCTTTATTGTGAGTCAAAAATGAGATGATGGGTTTGAAACTTGATACCTGAGCTTTTGATTCTGCCATCATCTTTACGTTTGATGTCTTCAGGTTGGATTAGATGGAGTTATAACAACAGTTTTAAAATGTATGTCTACACGAAAGGACGAGGTTTCAAAACGTTCTCACTCTGGAACTCCTCAGRGTCTCCAGAAACATCTTGAAGAGATGAACAACCAAAACTTCCAGGATTCATTTTCTTCGCAACAAGAGTCTATCATTGAGTCTTTGTCTAGTTTTTATTAATTTAACCAAAGCAGCTGAAAAAACAGAAARTCATATCCCGAGTGTCACCATCGATACGACGAGTCCTCGGGTTGCAGGAGACCTGGAGTCAGAGCTTCACGTCTGAATCAYGCATGTCTCCAGCTTCGACTTGGCGTGGCTCCTGGCCTGCTTCAGAGCTGAGACGTCTGTCTGGCCAAACCCCTCTTTTTTGTTTCTCAATGACTTAAGCCTCTGTCTGTGGTGAAAGAGGAAGTGGGCGGGGCAACGGAGCTGCCGACGCCACAGGAAAACGAGCCGACCGATTTAGAAATGTTGCCTTTTTAGAAAGGTAGATGAGCTTTTAGCTGGAGGACGGCGTGGAGTGTGTTTGTTTCTCTGTGTGTGTGTGTGTGTGTACGCTRTGAGTGAGGAAAYGTAACCGCATTTTTAGTTTTTCCTTGTTGCTAAGCGACCGTTTATCTGCTGGTTGTTGTCTTCTTGGCTCTTCTGGTGGCTTTCAGACACCGTGTGTCGCTTTCTTTCATTATGTCTCACTTTGTGTGTTTGTCCCTCTGAATGTGTCATTTCTCCTGCAGAGG